GCCATGGGGGCGAGCGGCGGGCGGCAGCTGCACTGAGGCGGCGGCGGCGCTCGTGAGGGGACCCCCGGGCCGGGACTCGCCCGGCCCGAGCGGCCGGGGGATGTTGCGGTGGATCCGGCAGCAGCTGGTAGGGGCCGCGCTAGGCCGTAGTGGGGGGTGTGTCCTGGGCAGCTGCTGCCCCCCCCCCGGTCTTTCCCCCTTTTGGTGTGGTCCCAGGGAATCGCGGGCTCCCGGAGGCGCGGGGAGCGGCGAGCCCCTTGTGGGCAGGATCCGACCAGCCCAGACGCGTCCCCCTGCGCGCTGGGTCGGAGACTGCCGCGCGCCCTGACGCAACGCAGGCCTGGCAGCCCAGCCTGCTGGAGTAGGGGAGCCAGACAGTGAAATCCTTCCCTGCCTGCAGCGTGTAGCTCTTCGATCAGGGGGTCAAATACCCTCCCTGGCCCCAAAGACGCCTTCTGTCTGCGCCGGAGTGGAGGGGCAAGACCCTCTGGGCAGGATCCTCCGGCGCGCCCCAGGCAAAGTCCCCGGCCTTGGCTGCACCCAATGCCTTAACAACACCTTGACCTGTAGCAAACAGGCTGGGGGCGGGGGCAGCCGGCAAAGCCCAGTAGCCTGGGAAATAAGGATAGCAATCTTCCTTTTTCCTCCTGCAGTGCGCCGCCCCTTTGGGAGCTGGGGCGTGCGAGTTAGGAGGGTTCAAAACCCAAGCAATATCACCCAAGCACATGCGCACAAGTTTAGGGGTGAGGGACAGGGAAGGCTCTTTATATACAAAAAATGAAAGTGCAAACAAACCGACCAAAAAACTGGCTTAAAAACAGACGTCTGGAGCAGGGAATCTCCTTTGCATCAGAGACAGTTGGCAAGCCTGTTGTACCGTCCTGTCACGTGGAAATTGGGCTGCTGTGACAGTGGCACATCTCTGTGCCACCGCAGAAATAAACACGCGTTAATGTTCACCGTTTCCCTTCAAACTGTTGGTCGGTAAAGACACCCTTGGCTGCACTTAAATGCACTTCCATTCATAAACCAAAGTAAAATGCACTTGCTGAGAGAGAAATGCTTTGTTGTGTGCTCCAGAGAGCAGCTTCTGTTATTTTTAAGCTTATTCATTCATTTATTCATTCATTCATGTTGGCATTGTTTTCTAATTTATACGGTATGTTACCAAGGTTGCTGCCTTATTTTGTAATGGCTAGAGCTTTTTTATCTTTTGAGTTGATTGAAAACTGTCACTTCCTTGTTTTGCAAAGTGTTTTGGAGTGGGGTTTTGTTAGGTTTTTTTTGTTTTTTGAAAAAGGCAAGATTGCCTTGATTCAGGGGTTTTCTTTTTAACAGGGTTACAACGTCTAGGAGCAGTCCTTTTTTTTTTTCATGATCTCTGATATAATCATTTGTGGACTAGGACTGCTGGTGACTTTGATTGCCAGTTTGACAGTGTTTATGGCTTGGTGTGCAACTGGGGTTTAATGACGTGGAAATTAATTGTTTTGTATCTGATCTTGCTACGCTTTTCTGTTTTATTGCATCCGCATGCAACATTTCTTCTAGTCTGCCTGTGTCATTAAGATGAAGACTGATATTATAATGCAGCCATTTTCTTTGTTTTCTCCAAAGATATTGCTGTAGAACCTCATGGTGAACAAATTGAAGAAAAAGAAGTAGTTGTCATTCTCTTTCCTGTGGAGTGTACCTTAAGACTATATTGTCAGTTCTAGGAATTAATGTATTAAGTATAGTTGCATTTGTTTAGCTAGGAGCACTGTAATGCTGGACAGCTTTTCAAAGATATGCTTGGTGTTGAATTAGAAAGCTTACTTTGGGTCTCTGAGGTTCCATGTGGCCCAGTAGACTTCAAATAATTACTTCATAGTATGGATAAAAAGTAACTTCATGTGTAAGAAATGCTACAGTGTGATGCCTTCCATATTTAGTATTACTTCCCTCACTGTTTTTATGTCTAAAGAAACTTTGGGTCCTCTGGGCCCAGATCTTAGCCAGTACAAGTGTTAGATTTCACATTGCCAACTGAGGAAAAAATAATTAATTTAATTTAAAAATACTGTAAGTTAGGGTGGCAAATCTAATGATGCCTCATTCATCTTCTTTTTAGTGAAAATGTTTTGTTGCTATATTACCACAAACCCTAGTCAAAACAAACCAAACAAAAATGCATATATATATATGTCTCTTTCTCTCTCTCTGTATTTTTTTACTAGGGTTTGTCGTAAAATAGTAACAAAACATTTTTACTGAAAAGAAGATGAATGAGGTACCATTAGAAAATAGTATATAAAAATAGTACAGAGGAAGAAATAACATGTAGAATTCAGCAGAATGAGTAGGTTTTCGGGGGTCTTTTGTGTAAGAAGAGTGTATTTTGGTGTAGAAGAAGGTAACTTACAGTTTGTTCCATGTGTTTGTGTGTCAAGGCTTCACTTGATGTAAAAAAAGGATATAGTTGGGAGTGGATACTGGAAATAAAATGAGCGCTTGAAACGTGGGCAGGCGGGTAGGTGAGATCATAGTGTGTTGTGTAAGATGAGCAGGAAGAAGGCTGCATAACTTTAAAAGATGTAGAAAGGAAGCTTGAACTGAACAGAGAAAAAGATGGCAATTTAAAGCATAACATTATTTAAAGGAGTATAAACTCTGGCAACAGTCTTTGGAAGAAAGATAACGGGAAGAAGTTATAGTGCATAAGTGATATTCTCTAATGTATAGACAGGTTTGAACAGTAGTGATAAAGAGGCAGTGATGAGTTTCTGAAGGTATCCAAAAGAAAGGCCATTCTAAGTTAAGATGCAAGGAAACTTAAAAGGGGTGCTAAGACGACAAGCCTGAAAGTTGGGCAGGCTATGTGACTTCTTTAACTGCCAGCGTTTGATGTTTATACCTCAAGTGTTTCACAACCCCTGCCGTTGAAACTTGTTATGAGCAAATTAGCATTTTGTACAACTCTTCTGACACACCCAGCTGCCCTCCCCCCGACATATGCATATTCACTGGTCTACCTTGGATCTGGTGACACATCTATGTACTTAATGATAATATAAATACTGATGCCTTCTTTTCTAATGTTGCTGCTGTAGTGCTGAGCAGGTGGTATAGATAGGAAGCAGTAGAAAAGAGAGGTAGGATGTAAGAAAGAAGTTGGGTACCAGAAATAGGGCTGATCATGCCACAGATGCATGAGACTGTTGGGGCAGAATCTGCATTTGACAAGCGTAGGAGGAAATATATCCAGTATTGGATACTCTTGATGATGTGTGCTTGAATCTATGTTGAACAAATTTGTTGAGACCTGTAGATGGGAGTACTGGAGCCAGGCATATGTGAGTGGGCTTGAATTTAATGAAGTGGTGGTAGTGAAAAGAGTATGTTAAGTATGGGGAATTGCAGGTACACAATGCAGGATTGGAGTTAATGGGAATGGTAAGTGTCCTGCTGAAGTTGGTTGTCTACCTTTATGTAAATAAAGAAAAACCCAAGAGTCGCACACCTTTTTTTTTATAATACAATTTCTGATACTTCATATAGTTATTGGTGGAATACACAGTCACATCTTCATGTTATCAGGAATCTGTGTTGAAAGGGAAAACAGTGGGAAGATAGGTGTGGGCTGAGATGCAAGAGGAGGGTAAAGGAAGTGAAATGGATGCATTTGAGAGGTGCTGATTGGACCCGATAAGCAGCTGAAGGATTAGATTGAAATTCCTCCGAGCAGTGTCCTTGCCTCGTTTTGTTTGTGAAGGTCTGTGTTACTATATAGATAAATGACGGACTTGGATCTCTGGTACTGGGAGGGCTCCCAATGGAGAAGCCATAAATAGAAGTTAGCAGTTGTTTGTGGGGAGGGGCAGAGGGGCTAAAAGTATGGCAGATGAAAAAAATAATAATTTAGTTTTTTTTAAATAAAGGAACAAGGGAAAAAAAATAAATTAAAAATGCCAAATACCACAGCACGTAAACATGCTGTATAGCTAACTTTGCTGTATAGCTAACTTATTAGAATTCAGCACCATGAAAGCTGTAGCTGCTCCACTGTGTGTCTGTTCTTTCAAGGAGTGAATGTCATCTTTCGTTATGCTGCATACTGATATTGTCACCCTCCTAATGCACATGAAAAACAAGCATCAATATGTATAAACAGATTTATTAACAAAAAGCAATTCGCATAAAACCATTTGCAGAAAAGGAGAGAACAATCCAGTCTGCAAACAGCTTGTTTATTATTTAGAGTAATATTTAATTTCTTAAATGCAGTGTCCCTTCAAACAGATGTTATATTGATTGCTGTATAGTGCCTCACACAAGCTTCCAAATGTTTTACACTTCACAATGAAGGCACTGTCTAGATTTATCCTAGATTTACCAATTCAGCTGTTAGTGGTAGATGTAGGACTAGAACAATCAAAAGGTGTTAGGATATTGGGGTCTCTGTGAATCTTGGGTGCAGTCAAACAAAAGATAACTGAAGCACTTAGCGTATCTGATTTTGAGATTTCATAAAAAGCATAGGCAAGTGCATTTGTCAAGGAGGTACAGCCAACTGCTGAGAAATGCAGCCAAGTAAGTAAACAGCAGTGTTTAGGAAGCTGTATTAACACAGTAATAAGCCATTTTGCTGGTTCACAGTAGTGATGGCTCTTTAAAACCAAAAGTATTTTATGGTTCGTCAGAGGTGATTTGTGGTGTATTCAATAAAGCATTGTAATTCACATATTTTAGAAAAATTTAGAGGCAGGAAATAGGTCATTCAGCTTATTAGAGATACTATTCTAATTTTGATGGAGCTGACTTAAAAGATTTTTTCTTTTAACTGCATATGCTAAAACTTTCCACTGGGTCAGTGGGTAAAAGCCATGAACCTGTTGATATTTCTTCCCTGGCAGTTTCTGGAATGATATAATTGTTAATCTTTGGTCTGTATGTAGTAGACCTCATAAATGGGTGTTTGTGTATAAAAATCTAAGTTTATCACCTAAGAGATTTGCTTTTGTTTAACCTGAAATTGAATAGAGGGTGAACATGTGGATGCAGTGTGTCCCATCAGATAGTAATTGTACACAACTATATTTACTCTTAATTCTGGTTTTCAACTAAAGGAATGACTGAGAGGATGCC